CAGAAATACCAGAAGAAAAAAATGAAACCAGAAATAAAAGAAAAGAAAATAGCAGACATAAACAAAAAAAAAATTTCGTTAAAAATTTAAAAGAAAATTAAAAAAAAAAATTCAGATTATTTGTAGTTCTTGAGTTTAGAGACGTTTGCCCAAATTATCAGTGTATTGTGGGCTACACGCACATATCTACACAAGATACAACACACGCGTCTTCGATTTTGGAAATTTATAAAATCAGTTTAATTGAATACTTATTTCCAGATGGCGCATAGAACATCCTACATGACAAGAAAGGAAAATAATTGACCAACCAAATCTATTGTGATTTTGAAAAGTCCTAAGCTTTCACACTCTTAAAAGCAATATATATTACAGGACGATAACGAAAATTTCGGAAGCCGTGCTAACTTGTTGCAGAATTTGTACTAAGTAGGATGTGTCAGAAGGTGAAATTGTGTGAAGGCCTAAATAGTGCGTGTACATTATGCATTTATCCACAACAAATAAATTAAACGAACATAGGAAGACAATTCAATTTGAAGAAATCAAGCAAAAAAAAACGTAGTTATAGATTTCAACAATGACATGAATTTATATATATATACTTGACATACACAAAGTGATGATACGTTGCTTGTTAAATGTAGCAAGTGAGATAATATTGCAAAGAGTGTCTGTGCAGAGATTTGCTAAATGAATGTTGATGATTTAAGTTTGTTTATGAAATTAAAACAGTTGGATTTCTGCTAGGTAAAATGTCAATTGTGTGAGTTCAAATAGTGTGTATGTGTGTGACAATTGTAAGTGTTGATTCAAGTTATGAAGAGTTGTGTGCCTTTGACTGATATGCTAAAGTTGATTAAATGTACAATTACTATTTCGCAGTGATAATGCCACTTTTTAGTAAATTGTAAGTTAAGTTTGTTCACGCGGCAATAGTAATGTGAGTTGTGCTGAGTTGATGAGATGCTGGTAGTGTTATTGAGTCAGTGTGTTGGCACGCGTGGAGTCTGCTGGCATATCTCGAAAGTCAGTGTCTGACTGACTTGAATTAAGTCGAGCGATTCTTTTTTTTGTTTTTTTTTTATAGATTTTTGGGTTTTCAGATAGGCTCCAGACAGCTGCGCAGGAAAAAAGGATTTGTCTCAACTTGCTACATTTTTGTGTCCTTTTAACCAATAGGAAGTTGTTTGGAAAAGTGAAGTGATGATTGGTTAAAGGTTAATTTAAGGAAGAGTGCATCTTCCCGTAATGGGTGACAGGCAAGGAGGATTTCATAAACTTACACCAGAAGTTCGTTTTTAGCTACCGGCAACTTCAAAGTAGAAGTCTTCAGTCATCTATCCGATTTCCATCGACCAAAACCACAGCTGAACTCCTCTCTCACACAATGTATGTAAACATAGATTCTCTCTCACCCTCTCTTCCTCTGTTTGTAAATCTCCACTCTCTTTTCACACGCTTACATAATGACATTTATTTGAACTCAGACAACTGAAAAGGAACATTCTTTTCATATAAATCATTCTTTTATCCACCAACTTTTAATTGAGACAACTTAATTTCCTTAAAACGTCCGAAGTTAATAGACAAATAAAAGTGGAAATTCAAAAACTTATCTCCTCACTTCAAGTTTCGCAGAAACTAATCCACCAATAAAGAATGAAGATAAATCAAATGGATTTATTCACCGCCATCTTCATTCGATAACAAGATATAGTCATAGGTTTACTGACCAGCTTCCTCTATTGTCTCGGTTGCGTGCTAATGTTCGAGTCTCAGTGAAGGATCTTCCAGTCCACTCTTTTCTTTGGTCAAATGTGGTAGTATTTCTGTCAATATCTCTGAGTTATTATTATGATTATTTACGTTATTCGAACTGTTATCCTCATCTTCATTGCTATTTTAACAACGTTACGTCATTATTTACATTATTCGGACTTCTGTCCTCATCTTTGTCACCATATTTATCACAACGTTTAGGCGGTTGTACGCTCCGGCCTTCTTCAGGTGGTTGGAATTTCGAACTGAACCCTTTATTTCGCTCACTGGGGTAGACTGTTCTAGTTCCACGTGCCATGTTGGACGGATGTCAGTTATCAGTTATCTCCTGCTAATTTCCTCTGAAAGTTCTCAGTGCCTTAACCGGGCATTGACCCCACTAGGCACAGTGGATAAAGGCGTTGGTTAGATCCAAAGAGTGTGAGTTCAATACCCGGTTAAGGCAGTGGAGAACTTTCAGAGGCAAATTAACAAGAGATAACTGATAACTGACATCCTTCAAACATGGCACGTGGAACTAGAACAGTCTACCCCAGTGAGCGAAATAAAGGGTTCAGTTCGAAATTCCAACCACATGATGAAGGCCGGAGCGTACAACGGCCGAAACGTTGTGATAAATATGACGACAAAGATGAGGACAATAGTCCGAATAATGTAAATTATGTACATAATACCTCATCTCAGAAATATAGACAAACGTTACGGCAGTTGTATGCTCCGAGCTTTTTTCAGGTGATTGGAATTTCGAGCCGAACATTTTATTTCGTAGATTTTTCTAGTTCCACATGCCATGCCTCTTTCGGACGTCTCAGTTATTTCCCTTTTTAGCTGAACACTCCAAGTGTTTTGTTTCACCACTGCTGTAGCCTGTCATCGAACTCACAACTATTTGGGTGAAGCCAATGGATCTAACCAACGCCTTTATCCAGTAGAGGATACATGGCCCAGTGGATGTAATAAAGAGTTTAGTTCGAAATTTCAATCATCTGAAGAAGTCAACGGCCAAAACGTTGTGAATATGGCAATGAGGCTGAGGTTAACAGTCAGAATAATGTAAATAGTGATAATATTTATATACATACAACATATATTGCTTAGAAGACGTTACATCAAATGTTAAATTTTGACAACAATTTATTTCACATTTGTTCTTTCACAAGGACGTTATTACATGCCATTATCTAAGACAAAGCGTATAATCGGTCATGATCAAAATTTCAAAGAGCAGTCAGACTCTCGGTCATGATGGCTTATGACTTTGTGCAAGAAGAATCATCAACGGTTTCCTAACAGTTCTGTCTGCCCAATTTCACTCACAAGGCTTGCATCAACTCGTGGTAAGATTTGAGGAAAGCGGGCGTTTTAACCATTTGGCCACACCTGTTTTTATATGAATTGAAATAAAAAGTTAAAAAAAATTATCGGTCAAATTAGATTTTCGTAGATTTCATTCGCTCACTAAAGGACTAAATATTAGGTTGGTGCAAAAATAATGACGTAATAATGTCGTTTTTGACGTATTTTTAAAGGTCAAAAAACGACATTATTACGTCATTATTTTTGCACCAACCTAATAATTCAAATATATTTATCAACAGATATATATATTGCTTAAAATTATCAGGCATCCGTTCATCTGGTGAGATAAAGATAGGGATCCGTTTGGTCAAAATTTAATCTTTTAGTTGCAAGACTGGGGTGACCACTTCAAGGTGGATGCGTAGGTGATGTTATATGGATGTCGTGTGATGCCCAGACTACATGGCTCTATCATTCTTGGCTGTACCGACAAGATCTACAGGAATACAGAGAAATATATTTAGGGCTGGCTTGGCTGCAGGAGTTGCCGGAAAGCTGTTAATGTTAACAGCTAACAGACTTCAAGGCACCACTCTGAGTTTTCTGTCCGGATTTACTTCGATGTTTGGATATGATTGTATAGCAGAGGAGTTTTAAAATCAATGTTATCTTTCCTATAGAAAGAATATCGTCCTGGGATTTTGAGCTCTATCTATTACAAACAGCTGGTTATAAGGAGCCGGTTTGGAGCTGTTTGTCAGAGGTTATCTGATACCCATTTATATGGGTGCACCTCTAGAACCCTCGATGACCAGAGCTTGACAGCTGATATCTCCTCTGACTTAACTCTAGCAGTACAGTGGTGAAAAATTGGCTGGTCAAAGACTAAACCAGAACCCTTCCAGCACTACCGATTGGACTCAGTATTTTCGTGAGGGAGACCCTGTGGCTTAAGCGCTTATTAGGACGTGAACTCAACCCAGACCTCAAGTGGAACTCATAAATACAATCTAAGGTTTCTGAGAAAGTGGTTGGATTCCTAAACCGCTCCAGCAAGTACTTTACCCCGCCTACTAGCCTTTAACTTTAGAAGGCCCAGATCATTCTGAAAAAGGAGTACTGATGCCATATATGGCGATTATTTTTCACTGCAACCCTGTAGTCACGGATGAAATGTCGCAAGCTTCTCACTTTTTTATTGCTATTTCCATGGTGAGTGGTTAAGATGAACGACACTCCTTAGTTTAACCACTTCTAACCTTCTCAGCTATGATTCACCGTACTATGCACATTATAGCAGACTACCCTCTTCTCCTTCATATCCACCTGGTGAGATGTAAGTTCCACTCAAGCAGCTTATTCAGACGGACCGCTATCTTGTAGAACGAACTCCCAAAAGGCTGCTTCCAATCTTAATCTGTCCAAGTCTAGGATTAACCGTTATCGTCTTCACATATCCTTATAAACTGTGCCTTTTACTCTATAATCCTCTACCTGTTTTATGGAACCAACTCTTAAGAGGCTGTTTTCATGATCACTACAGTCTTAACCTGCTTCAATGTCTAGGGATAACCGTTATCTTCTTCACATATCCTCATATACTGTTCCTCTTACTCTATAACCCTCTACCTGCTTTATCGAACCCACCTGATCACTACAATCTTATCCTCTCCCAACGTCTAGCGTTAACCTTTATATTCTTCAAATATTCCTATAAACTGTTCCTCTTACTCTGTTACCCTCTACCTCGAGTGGCCCCATGCCAATTTAATTAAAAAAGCAAAAAACATTTGGATAAACATACCCACATAAACCCAACTCGTCAGATCTTTTCTTCCATGTTTTTTTGTTTTTTTTTTTACCCCATATAATTCCACCATTTCCTGTCCTCCTCCATATTCGAACGTGTATCATTTTATATGTTTCTTCCATTTTTTATTTTCTTTTTCATTTTCGATCAAGCATCGAATGGTACGATCCAGAGAAAATTATCCTGTTCTTCTGTTTGGCCATATTGGCTCTCTGGACATTTGGTACGCATTTTTTCCGTTCTATTAATTAACAACACGACACTGGATCCATTGTAATCCATATTAAAGTAGTAGACAAGATGGCGACCAGCTACTCTGTGCTTGAAAGAAGTGGCATAGTCAGATAAAAATGCAATTAGTGTCTGGTGAGACAATCCTAATAGTTCAGCCGGGCATTCTGCTGTTTTTTTTTTTTGTGCCAATGATTTCGTCTTCATTCATTATTTATTTCTTCCTATCAAAGCTATTTCTGTCATTTTTCTTATTATTTGATTAAATCCTTTAAAAACTTTCTATCTTTCTTTTCTCTACAATCATTTCTTGCTATCTGTCATTCTTAATCACACCTTTTTTTCTTAGGTTCACTTACATTTTACTGACTTTTCTCATTATTTCCAGCCTTTCTTTTCTTTCAATCACTTTCCTGATCTTACAATAAATGTTCGTTTTTCCTACAATTTCCCGTCATTTACATCTATCTATCTATCTATCTATCTATCTATCTATCTATCTATCTATCTATCTATCTATCTATCTATCTGTGGATCTGGTTATGTAAATTTACATCTATCTCATCTTCCGATCGTTTGTTCTTTTCTATCTATCTATCTATCTATCTATCTATCTATCTATCTATCTATCTATCTATCTAGTTATGAAAATATAAATCTATCTATCTATCTATCTATGATGTCAATTTGCATTTATTTCTCTCTATCTCCCACTATGTCTCTGTTATTTATATCTTTTGACAGTTTGTTCTTTTCCATCTTTTTATCATCCCGTTTTTCTTTCTATCTATCTATCTATCTATCTATCTATCTATCTATCTATCTATCTATTCGATATCTATCTATCTATCTATCTATCTATCTATCTATCTATGGATCTGGTTATGAAATTTGCATCTATCTATCTATCTATCTATCTATCTATCTATCTATCCATCATCTATCTATCTAGTAATGTAAATTTACATCTCTCTCTCTTTTTCATATCTTTTTATGATCTTTTATATGTATATGCATATATGTTTGCATGTATCTATATATCTATATCAGTTTCTCTTACTCTCTCTGTCACTCTTTCTATATCTCTCTTTACAAGTGTGTGTGCGTTTACCTGTCTACTTACCTGCCTACATACCACATAATATTTCAATTCCCCACATTTCCTTTTTAGGCGATTCTCATAAAATAATCTACCATTCCATTTTTTTCTCTATTTTGATTCCCATTTTTGAACACTTTATGTCTCTTTTTCTTCCTGAATCATTCTTCAGGTTCTTTTGGACCAAATTCTTTGCAGACAGCCAATTGAGTTTCCATTTCTTCAGGGTTCTTACTTGTACACAATTCTTGCCAGTGTGTGACTCTAACAGACGGTGTCCCAGGCAAAACAGGGAGGAGAATTGCCTGCTATTTTCCTTGTTCATTTCCCCAGAAAAAGAAGTGGCGAAATATATGTCACCAGGAGCTATATTTGCGCTTCGGTTGTTCGGAGTTATTGTGGCGATAGACTGAAAAATAAGAATAGCCCTATGAGAAAAAAAAAAAAGAAAAAAAAAGATGTTTTTGTTCGAAAGAACGATGAGAAGAAGGAGGAAGGTAAAAAAGGAAAGAAATAGAAGGAGGGAAATGGACAGAGAGAAAAAAATAGAAAGATAAATATAAAAGCATGGTTTGGGAGATAGATAGATAGATAAATGGATAGATAGATAGAGAAAGAGAGTAAGTTTCAGAGAAAGGGGGAAGTTAGGAAGAAAGACAAGGAAAGATAGAGAGGAAAACGTCAAGGAATAGAAAAAAAAGAGAGAAAAGAGATAGATAAATACTAAGAATAAAGAGAGGGAAACAAGAAGCCATAAATATGATATTATCAAAGAAAGTGACAGAGAGATAGAGAAAAAGAAAGAGAGAGAGAGAGAGAGAGAGAGAGAATATTTCGATAGAGAACAAAAGAAAAAAGATAGCAAAAACGATGAATGAGTGAGATTGTGTGAATTCGATTAATTGATTAACTTATTTTTTACAGCTTATCAACCTTTTGCTGGTTATTTAAAGCCAGAAAATATTTTTAGATTCTACGAATTTTGGGGAGATAATAATGATTTACTAATATAACTCCTACTAATTAATCCATAGCTTGAACATTGCTAATTTCCGAAAGAACGATGAGGAGGAGGATGGTAAAAGGGGAGGAAGAGGAAAGAAATATATCATTAAATATATTAAATATTATATATTTATTTTTATTTCTATTTCTCTTGGACGTTCTTTTGCTTCTTACTTGTTTCCCATTCATTTCTTCGGTTCTGTTACCGATATCAAGTACCTGTATTTGAGAAATATAACATAATTAAAACAATATATATATATATATATATATATATATATATATGGTCTACAGTGAGTAGTAATAATAAAACAATGTTCAAAATCAAAAGTATGAAGAGACTGAGATAGATTGACAGACAGACAGAAAGATAAATAGATAGATAGATATGAAGACACTGAGATAGATAAATAGATAGATGTATAGATAAAAATAAAAAAAATAGATAGATAGATATGAAGAGGCTTAGCTAGCTAGCTAGATAGATGGACAGATAAAAGATTAATATGGATAGACTGAGACAGATATGAAACAATTAGTTAGATATGACATGACTGATAGTAAGGGGAAGAAAAGTTGGAGGTGAAAGAGTTTAAAGGATAGAAAATACAATAAAAAAACAATAAATTCAACTGCAAGGGTAAAGCGTGAATTACCTCAGCTAACGTTTTCATCTTAAGTTTTGTAGGGGATAGATAGATAGATAGATAGATAGATAGATAGATAGATATAAAGAGACTGAGATAGATATAAAGAGTCAGGCTGATAGATTGATAGGTAGATAGATAACTAGCTGCTAGCTAGATAGACACAGACTGAGATAGGTAAATAGATAGGTAGATATGAAAAAACCTAGATAGATAGATATGAAAAGACTTAGATATGAAGAGACTGATATAGTTTGATATGAAGATATTGAGATAGATAGATAGATAGATAGATAGATAGATAGATAGATAGATAGATAGATAGATAGATTAGTATGGGCACAGCGTGATACATAGGAGCTGACTAGATAGATTTGAAAAGACTGAGATAGATAGATAGATAGATAGATAGATAGATAGATAGATAGATAGATAGGAATTTCTTCTATAATCTGTAACAGTTGCCACAAATAATATATCAGAGAAACCTCAAGGGATGTAAATAATGGGTCATCTAATTTTCTTGAGGGCTTTGATAATTTTCTCAAAAATGTATTTTTCTTTTCCTTTTCCAATAATATATTGGTGATTTTTTTGCTTTTTTTTTTACTAACGAAATTTATTACTACAAAAATGTATTTTATACTTTCATGAAGTTTTGGCCCCAGTTTGAAGATTTCCCTATTTGCCCATAACTGGGACTCTAACAGGTGTTACCATTCCAGGTCCAACAGCAGTTAACACTTCCGCTGCTAACTATGGAGATCTTCGTTTTTCGTATCTTGCTCCAGCTGGCTAAGTACGGAAACCTACGTTTTTTTTTTTTTTTTGCATACCGCTGGTATGAGTGTCCCGTTGCGCCATCTATCGTAAAATCCCAAAGGACAATGCTTCAAAAGATATCATGTGTATAACCCATTACTGATCTGGTAAGTCATTCCCAGGTATATCCATGAAAATGGAATGCTGTAAAACACACTGGTGCCAGTTTTCTGTGTAATAAAATATCTAGGTTGAAATTTGGCATTTTCTTTAAAAATGGCTGGCCGAATGGGGGCAGCACTGGGCAAATGAGTAGCAGTGAAAGGGTTAAGACCTCCCAATCAGAGGCCTTTCTACTGGATCTAGTTTATCGTCATACCCAGGATGATATTCTCACAGTGTATTCATCGGCAGTAGTACAAATACACACTGGTCGAGTCCACTTGTATGAAAAAGGGGTGGACACCATAACATAATGTAATATTGGTCTGGATAACTTGGAGACTTTAGCTGAAGACCGGATTTCTTGGAGAGCTGGTATTGCTGATCGTATATATATATATATATATATATTGCTGATCGTATATATATATATATATATATATATATATATATATATATATATATATATATATATGAGGGGCTGTCAACTTGCAAAGCATGCATGATCATCAGTGAGATCTCCAGCCCTTCACTTAAACTCCCCACAACACTGCATTCATTTGTTGTGTGAAAGACAGTGGCTCATGAAGCCAACCATCGATCTGGATTTCCAGTCACATATGTGGCATATGAAATCATCTCAGGGTAGTGGAAGGAGACTTTTTCATCATCACTTCCAACGCGCCCTTTCATATGCTTTGTCAAGCCCGACCTGGACTTACAAACCCTAGTACAAATCAAACATTCAAAGCATGCCATTATGAAATCGTCATACACAATAGACTCTTGGCGTTTGTGTGACTGCTGGTGACTGAGCAGACCCATCCTTGACAAACATATCAGATTGCATTGGGCGCATGGCCAGATTAACATCTCATGGAAATTTAGGGATCCCATTCGAACCCCTCTCTTCAGTTCTGCATATTTTTGTAATGCATCATGGAAGATCTTGATACGATCAGCAATACCAGCTCTTCAAGAAATCCGGTCTTCAGCTAAAGTCTCCAAGTTATCCAGACCAATGTTACATTGTGTTATGGGGTCCACCCCTTTTTCATACAAGTGGACTCGATCAGTGTGTATTTGTACTACTTCCGGTGAATACCCGGAAGTCGGAAGGTAGAGTAATAGAGAGAGTAAGAGTGTGAGGTAATCGCTTTGTAGGAGTCACAGTTGCGAGCACGTAGACTCAGAAGGAAGTCCTACTTCGATACGGAATTTCCCAGACTGTATATATATTATTATTGCTACTAACCGCATTTCTGGATCTACTAACCGTATTACCAATTGTATTATTACGTCAATACATTTATTTGCTATGTTTCATTCCTGTGTTTGTCATTCATTGGAGAACGGATTTCATCTCGGAATCCACAACAAATTAGAGACGAAGATTCGAACTTACACGGAAGAAAAAACAACAAAATAGTTTTCCCTCGTCGTCCACAGCGAATTGACGACGAGCGATTCGAACTCACACGAGAAGAAGGAATAGAAAAATCCTCCCCTCCTCCACAACAAATTGACGACGAGCGATTTGAACTCACACAGGAAGAACAAACAACAAAATATTTTCCCTCGTTGTCCACAACAAATTAGCGACAAACAGTTACGAGGAGTAAAAATAAGTAAAATTGAGTTATCATGGAAGATTTTAAAAATATTTTGGTATACCTGAAAAAAAAACCCAAAATGATCAACAATTACAAATACAAAAATACGAAAATGATCAACAATTACAACTACAAGAAAAATGGCAAAAGCAATTATTACAAACGCAAAAGGAAAAGTAAGAAAGACAAATAGAGCTCCAGGAACTAATATTGAAAGTAGCGGGCAACAAGCAATTAGATATTGGAAAAGAAGCAACTTTTTCGCAAGAATACCATAGAGATTTTCAAATATTCTCTAGATGAGGATAAAAATTTCGAAGATTACTTCAGAAGACATGAAGACATCTTTAACATCAACTGTCAAAATTGGACAGAAGCAAAAAAGATACGTCTATTGCTTAGAAAATTAGGAACTGAAGAATATACAAAGTTCGTGGATTATATCTTGCCAAAAAAGACGAACGAATTAACATTTGATGAAGCAGTGACATATCTTAAAGAACTCTTCACCCCGAAAACACCATTCTTCCACAGGATGTGGAAATGCCTTAACCTGGTAAAGGGCGATAATGAAGATTATTCCACGTTTGCCGCAATCGTAAATAAACATTGCGACGACTTCAAACTAGCGGAATTAACCCCGGACAGTTTCAAATGCCTCATCTTTGTTCAAGGGTTAGTTTCAACAAAAGATAGCGAAATGCGCAAAAGGATTCTTTCAAAATTACAAAATGAACCGGGTTTAACACTACAACAATTATCGGAAGATTGCCAGAGACGCCTAAGTATAAAGAAAGATGCAAAGGACATTGAGGCGTCAGCTGTATCTCATATATGTAAGTTAAACAAAAATCTACGTTCTTCACTCTCCCCGGAAAGAAAACAAAAATGCTACAATAATGAAAAAAGATTCTCACCCTCACAGGAAAGAAAACAAAAAATTTATAAGAGAAAAAGTACAACATACAGGACAAATTATGATGAATATCGAAGCAAATATAAGCCCCCCCCCATCAGCATGTTATCGATGTGGAGGACTACATTGGAACAAGGATTTAAATATAAAAAATGTCTTGAGTGTGGAAAAAAGGACTACAAGGCATCCCAATGTAGGAACAGAAAAGATACTAGTAGAATAAGAGCTACTAGGATGCATAACGAAGACAACACCAACATAAGGAAATATGTGGAATTGGAAATATTAAATAAAAAGATAAAATTGCAACTGGATTCTGGTTCCGACCTCACGTTAATCAACCTACAGACATGGAGAAAACTCAACAGACCTTCCATGTTACACACACAAAAAATTACCAAATCGTTTACAGGCAAACGAATAAAATTTGATGGAGAAATAATCGTGAATGTTAAATTTCACGGCAAAACAAAAAAAAACTTAAGATATACATCACAAAAGATACTGAAAATCTAGTAGGTATCGACTGGATGCAAAAGTTCAACATTTAGGACCTACCTATCAGCTCTTTTTGCAAAAATTTAGAGGTTGAACCATCAGATACTATAAAATTAAAGGAAGAATTATATAACAAATTTCCTGAGGTATTTTCGAGCGGGTTGGGACGATGCAACAAATTTAAGGCCAGTAATGAATTAAAAGAAAACGTCCAACCAGTTTTTGAAAAGAAGCGAAACGTACCGTTCGATACTATGGAAAAAATAGACAAAGAATTGGAGAGACTTGAACAAACTGGGATTATTTCAAAAACAGAGTTTAATGAGTGGGCAGCGTCGGTGATTTATGTAAAAAAGAAGTCAGGAGAAATCCGCGTATGCGCAGATTTTTCGACGGGGCTTAACAAGGCGATAAAAGACCACCATTACCCACTACCGAGCCCAGAAGAAATATTTACAAAGCTCAACGGTGGTAAGATATTTTCAAAAATAGATCAAAGTGAGGCTTATCTACAAACCCCAGTACAAGAAGAGAGTACGAAAATCCTTTGCATTAATACGCACAAAGGGTTGTACAAATTCAACAGACTACTATTCGGAGTAAAAGTTGCACAAGCAATTTTTCAGCAAACGATGGACACAATGATCACGGGCCAGAATTTCGCGACCGCTTATCTGGATGACATTGTAATTAAGAGCGACATTGCTGAAAAGCACATATCACACATAAAGGAAGTTTTCAGAAGACTTCAGGACTTTGGGTTCAAAGTAAAAGGAGAAAAGTGTGATTTTTTTCTTAAATGAAATTAAATACTTAGGTCAGATAACAAATGAAAATGGCAGAAAACCGGACCCAGAGAGGGCATCGGCAATGAAAAATATGCCTGAACCAAAAAAGTTTCCCGGGCCTAGCTAACTAATATGGCGAATTTATTGATAATATGCATAAACTGAGGGCTCCATTAAATGAGTTACTAAAAAAGGAGAATAATTGGAATTGGACAGAGGACTGTAAAAAAGCATTCAAGGAAATAATACAAAAATTAACTTCGGAGTTAGCATTGACACATTTCGATCCCGAACTCGAAATCATTATTGCAAGTGACGCGAGCTCACATGGGGTAGGTGCGTGTATTCTACACAAGATGCGGAACGGTACAAACAAACCCGTTGCACACGCATCGAGGTCATTATTACCGGCGGAGAGAAACTATTCACAGATCGAGAAGGAGGCATTAGGCATAATTTTTGCAGTAACTCGTTTTCAAAGATATATTTATGGGAGAGAGTTCACGCTCCAAATGGATCACAAACCACTTCTTACGGTTTTCGGTTCAAAAAAAGGTCTACCAGTCTATACAGCGAATAGACTTTTAAGATGGAGAACTGCGTTACTAAACTACAATTTCAAACTTGAGTTTTAGTGATTCATGCATTACCAGGGAGTGCAGTTTCATGACATTCAGACGTGTAGGAGGCTTTCCGTTGTTTTGTTTAGTTGC